CGGGGTAGTTCTCAATATTAGGTCAGATCAAGTGAATATTGCTTTTGCATTTAAAACTCCATCATTTAAAAAAATCTTTTGATCTTTTATTGAGCATTCGTCAGGCCTGTAAAATTTAATTATTGGAAACATATTCGTTTTGTTTTGTCATTACAGTAAGCAGCGGGGAAAATGTTGAGGACAAGTTTACATTTTTCACTCCCTTCACTACTATTATATCGTATATCGTCATAATCTACCCGATCGTTTATTTTACATCATAACATTTTTTACAGAATTGTTTATAAAATGAATGGTTACAATATAATTTATTTTTACTTAAGTATTTAGTATATTTTATATAAAAGAATAAAATAAACCTATTATACTATTTCCTTATATTTTTTCTTTACTAATATTAGAAGAACCAGTATTTCGTTTCACTCTACCTACAAAGCCGTTGGGTCCAATTTCATCCCACAACGTTTAATCATTTAATATAAATGTGAAAACTTCATATCGCTTTCTACGTTTCAAAACGCGTAAGTAAATAAATACATATACCAGAATGAAAAAAGAGAATGAATATAAAAACCACGAAAACTAAACTAAAGTTTAGCAGTACATCCAGAAAAGGTACTGAGAACGACAAAACGCTGTTTATCTCTAGTATTTTCTCCCTATCAAATTCAATATCACCTTGTGTATATCCTGTATCTACCGAGGAAATCGACAAGTCACGCGATCACAGCCGTCGTCCATCGAATGTGGTCTTCCGGTCGAGCCGTCCTAACGGCTGGCGTTTCTGCGGTTTTCTCAATCGCGATCGGAAACACACTATATTCTCTAGGAACGTACGGTAAAGGCTTAATGATAGGATAAAATGTATTAGTATCAGAAAATTATGACTTTAAAGTAAATGGCAAGAGTTCAGTGCTGCTATACCGATTTCTATTTTTTAGACCGTCATAATCAACATTGACTCCTATTGCTATAGTAAATCAGATGGCGAAAGTAAATAGTACATTAATCAGATGTTAGTTAACCAGTACACTGACAACCATTTGTAAAATATTTGGCATATAGTTTTTAAAATATTTTTCATATTTGAATAAATATTTTACCTTAAATAGGAAAAAGAAATGAATTGCATTTTTTTATTATTCTTTAATTTAATTAATACTTTACTTCAATTATATGATTTAATTTGGTTAATTTACTCTATTGTTTTTCGTATTGCAACGTATATGTGTCCTTCAATAGAAACAAATTAGTTAACTTGAAAAAAATTGAATATTTTCTAATGACTGTCTAAAATAATTTGTAACTACTGAAGTATACATTACTGAAAACAATCGCTCTCGTTACAATATATTACAATACAAAATTTCAAGGGTCCATTCATTTCTAGCGTTTCTCCTTTACAAAATCAACTAACCTCGTGTACTAATCCGAAATAAGCATGACGTCATTGCACTGGATGTAGTCTGTGGTCGTGGAGACCTTCTCCTTAGGATGACTTCCGTCTCTGCAAAAACAAATAAAATACCTGCAAATCAAAAAGAATGAAGTGATTTGAAGGAAAATTATCAAAGAGACAATTGAGACCTGTATGTGAATCAGAGAGAAGTATATGAAAACTATTACTTTCTATCAGCCTATATGTTCTTTCTCCGTTCATATTCAGTTGCCTCACATATTACACATCGTGCACAATCCACTCCAGCATCGTCCTCATGTGTCGTACGGTCCTCTTTCCAACGCTCTCCGTTCCATCGCATTTTATTATTTATTTTTTCGTCTTACAGCTAGCAGAGGAAGTGGGAAGGAGAAAGTATTGTAATGCAGCGGCGGAAATCAATTGTGGAGTTGACCACAGAAGGAAAGACTGACGGACGCACGGCAAGTCAGACAGACAGAAGCACGGACACAGGCAGATGCATGTACACACAGACAGACAGATGGGCAGACAAACTGACGGGCGTTTGGACAGATACGGACGCAGAAAGGACTGGACAGGCAAGACCGACGGTTGAGTGGACGGTCAGACAGACGAAACCATGCAGGCGAACAGACGATCGCACGGACTGGCGGACGGATAGCAGAACAGATGGACGTTTTCCTGTCAATCGATTTTCTGACGTCAAGGAACAACAAAAAGTGGTTTGTCACTACTCAAAATTTTAGAGGTAATTTACTACATAGAATGACACAGAAACAAACTTTATTCACGTTTTCATTTTCCGAGCCACACTAACAATTTCTATCAAAAAATCACCGATTTCCGCTGCGCCATTACAATTCTTTTGGTAGTTTGTAAAGTAGTGAGATGATATAGTAAATAGCACGAGCAATTGATAGAATTAAATTATGTGATAAGTATGTCAAAATGCATACTTTATTGTTTGTCATACTTGCAAGTACCATATACAATTTTCTTCATATCCTACAAGGCATCTATTACTGTCAAAATCCGTATCTCGGGTGCTTCAGGTTCGAGTAATCAATCCTGAAGTCTCTAATTAATCATTGTACAATCTCAAGGGAGTATAACGTTTATCGCGAAGGAACCATGCCGGATCCTCGTCAGCAACGTGTACACGAGAAAGCAAGTAGGTTACGTACGACGCCATTCCGTTTTACAAGTATTTGTAGACACTGAGAGCTGTCGGACTTGAGCATTAAGTACTCAAAACTGAAAGCGCATGGACTACGGGCTTTGAATCTAACGCATCTACAAAGCAAACGTCCTACGACCCCCCCCGCCGCCGCGTAGCAAGGGGAGGGCGTTCCGCCGGGCGCCGCCCCCTCGCTTAGCAGCGCCCCCAGCGGCGATCGGGCGCGTGGCTGACGCGCGTCATCGGCGAGGCAGAGCTGCGGGCGCCGGGGCTGCCCCCAGGTGCCAATTTACAACTACTGCCGGGCCCCGAGGCGGCTGTTACGGCGCTTCCAAGGGCGATAAATGGGCAGTTAGCGCAGCACGCGGCGTGCGCTGCCTAGCGACAGCCCCGGCTATCGATTAAACATATTCGACGGAAAGTCGAGTGGCAGCCGCGCGATAGCGGGCGTCGCGCGTTTCCGAAGTGGCGGATGCACGCCGTTCCGGAGGCAGATAGGCGGCGCGCGTAAGGGTTTGCGCGGTGAATGGCGTACACCGGGGCTGAGCCGAACGTTGGGGCTTGGGCTACCAGCTAGGGCCGCATGGGTCGCTTTCCGGGATACGCGAAATACTTCCAGTTGAGTTCCGGGGAGACAGATTCCTAGACTACCACCATCGTTCGTCCGACGTGTGGTGCCTATCTCAAAATGTTATATCTCAGTCTTTCAGACAAGGAATGCGTATTACTGAACAACGTACTTATTACTAGGATACCTATTTCTAACGCTGGATAAAGTACGCTTGTGGATGATTTTTTTTTCTTGTTAAAAAAATATCCTTTCTAATTGGTTTCATTTGCATGATATTGTTCTAGGGAACGCAAAGTGATCACTCTTAGACCCGCGACAAATGCGCTATTTCAGATAGGAATGAAAGCTTGCCTGGAGGTGAAAAGGGACAAAGACAGAGCTTTGGGAGAGAAAGTTGCTGCAGAAATGACTAGAGAATTTTTGGAGCCTCGATGTCCTGTCTCCGACTCATTGGGCAGTCCTCGCATAAAACCTTTTCATTTTGGTAGCACGCGATTTGCTGTCGATGGCCCGTAAAACTAGTTAACCAACACACACTTTCTCGCATTATTGGGAATTTTCGCAATTTTTGAAAATCGAAACGTTCAACGAAATGACACAAGCGTCATTTCATAAGTGTCCTTGTCTCTATCTGTAGAGAAAGAAAGTAAGAACAAAATCCGAGTCACTTCAAGATTTTTTTATAAATTTGATTTACTTCGATCAAGAATTACGAAAAATTATTTTTTTCGTCAAAAATTGTACATGATATTTTCTTAACAGAATCTATTAAGGAAAAATCTATCATCAATGTTGAAGTGTTTTGAAATTTCGATTTTTTTTAAAATACAGAGCATTCGTCGAAAATGGAACTTGCGTCGTTTTAAGGGTCCAATGCTCTACGCGAGGAAAAAATAAAACAAAAATTGGAGTCTGTTTTTATAAAAGTAATTGTTTCAAAATTGCCTACATTTCACGCAAATTTTGCGAATACTCATATTTTCGAAAATTGTACATGTATTTAAAGTGTATTGTATTTGTACATGTGTATTGTATTGTATTGCTGTATTTAAAGAACAGATGTAATTCGGGGAAAATATTGATCTTCAATATTGTAATTGTGGGAAGACGTGGAAAATATGTTGATCCAATTCAGTTTTATAAAATTTAGAGAGTTCAATAAAAATGCCAAAAATCATCCGTTTTTGCGTGTCTTTTGCTCTATCTAACAAAAAATCAAAATATGGGGAGATTTTTGAGAAGAGCTCTGAAAAAATGGTCATTAAGAATTCATGTATAATACCCCCAAATATCAAAATCATCGTAGTAACGGACAAAAAAGTCCATTGCATTTTCAAATTTTTTTTGAACTTTATGTTCAAATTGAATAGAGAATATATTTTTCCAGAATATTTAAACTTTCTTCAATTCATTAATGAGACTGAATTCTGAACGACATGAAACAATGTTTTATGGGTTTTCTATTTTTCATTTAGTGAAAGCGTAGAACTTTTCTAACTTTTGTTCAGCCACAATAAAAATATATCTAAATTTTTGCATGAATTCTTGCTGCACAAAGTTTTTAGGATATATTCTAACTTTTCAAACCATTTTTCAACCACGTGGTTCGGAGGTTTTCTGCCTAACTTCATTCACGTGAAGAACCATAAATTTCGTCATTCACTTTGTTTTAATTTGAGTATTGTTGAGAAATTACACTAAGCGGAGGAAAACAGCATGCCATGCAATCGCATTGGTTTCATTTACATATTGAAAGTAGTGTATGTTGCAGGTAAAGTGTAGTTATGTATTTCGAAACCTTAAATTTTCAGAAAAATAACTTGTAGATGCTACGCGCGACTGAAATACATTTTTTAAAATATGTTTCCACCTAAATATTTTATTTATTGAACACATAGGTTCCCTCTTCGTAGTATATTAAAATAAATACCCGTTTGAAATCCATGACACATACGCTCTTTTAAAAATATTTCCGACTGCTTTAACGCAACAAAACATTCGCATGGACGCGCGGTATTTGTCAAACAAATGCCGTCAAACGTCCGTGAATTAGAAAACGCCAGTGATTAACTTTGAGCTGCGGACGAGGTCAAAGGAAGCGATTTATATTTGCGTTGACGGAGCTCTGTTGAACCTCGGGGCCAGTGCTCCGGGCGGCGCCGTCATCGCCGAATAAACACGTGCGCAGGCGGCGGATGCATCCGCGGGCGGTGCGCTTTGAATCCTCGCCGCACTGTCTGGCACGCCCCGCTCCGCCCCTCCCCTCCCCCCTCCGCCCCGTTCCTCTCTGCTCCGCTCCGTCCCTTCCTGCTTCCGCCCTCCCGCCCGAGCCCGCTCATCACCGCCTCCGCCCGCGCCCACCGCCCACCCACCGCCTCCGCCCGCGCCACCACCCACGCCACCGCCCGCGCCCCGCCGCGGCCACCGCCCGCGCCACCGGCCCGCCCACCGCCCGCGCAACGCCCGCGCCACCGCCCGCGCCACCGCCCGCGCCACCGCCCGCCCCACGCCGCCCTGCGCACCGCCCGCGCCACCGCCGCGCCACGCCGCGCCACCGCCCCGCGCCACCGCCCGCGCCACCGCCCGCGCCCACCGCCCGCGCCACCGCCCCCGCCTCATTGTCTCAATAAGTTGTCTCCCATCGTTGTTACCGCGGTTTATTTTGTAAACATACCCGAACGCCACCTCACTATCTGCACGTCCACAAAAGAAACAAACCACCGCTGCTATCGCCGTGTTCACAACTAATTCCACTACACTAGCCGCAGTTTGTTGTCAATGCTCAACTGCCGCACGGCACTTCTGCACAAAAGCGCGCCCGGGTTTCGTATAGCGAGTTCAAAGCGTGTTTGCAAGTCGGCGCCATCCATTGGTCGCCACGTTGGGGCGATCCCAACACCGAAATTGTCGTTCGCCATCTTCCACTTCATGCCGCTACCTTGCATCCACCAACTCCTTTTATGCATCGCAGCAGCCAAGACCCATCACGATCAGCTGGCGAAATAACGTACCGGTTACCAACATTCATCACCACCTTCCGCTGCTGCACTATCTCCCCCACCAAACCATCACCACCTTTACTGCACGGCTTAGGTTCCTTCAGGGCATTCAATTGATGTCTGTGCCTGTATAGCTGTGAGAGGAGTGTTGGAGAAGCAACGGTTGCAGCATATTTTCGACACCTATGCTAGAATATGTTAGGTCGGATTCCTACCGCTTCTGTATGAGAGATTACAGCGCCGGATGATATAATTGTAGAGTTACCGTGGCTTATTCGAACAAACTAAATATTAATGCTGATCGGTACCCGTAACAATACGGCCAGACGCGCGCCTCGATTTTTCCTCATCTTTCCTCTCCTATTCTTATATTTACAAGCTTTACACTACGAACACATTGCCGGGAGACACGTCTGGAAACTATACAGCATATCACGGCTGGCGCGATCCGTTTGATGGGACATACTTGGTTTGGAAAAGCCCATAAGCCGACTTTGATTAAGTGATTACGGAACTTGCCAATCCAATCGGACAAGACCACGCTGTCTCCCAGCGATAAACATAGCACAACCCTAAACGAGACTACATGACCAGCAGTTGACACGCCCGGTATCACTAATCAATGAAATCCGCTATCACTGCCGGCGTCAGCGCCAATTTCATTGCTGCACCTCTAGCCACCACGGTACTGGCGTTTCCGCCTGCACAGCTGTTCTGGCCAGCTGCCCTGCCCGACGCGGAGTCCCAACTGCGGTACGCCTCGCGCTCAGCTCGACCGCACTAACCGCAGCCGCAGCGGCAGCGGGGGCGGTGCGCGAAGCCACTGCCTCTCCGCACGAGATTGGGGCAGGTGAGGTGGGGCGCGAGTGTGGTGGGAAGATGCGTAGGCGGGGCTGAGGGGCGCGGTTTTGGTATGGCATGGCATAGCGGGCGGGCTGGCGCGGTGGGCGGCGAAGCGAACACGTGGCGGGATGGGGCAGGGAGTGGGGTAGGGATGGGAAGCGAGTGTAGATGGGTTGAGGCGTAGGGTATGCATGGCGCGACGGGTATTCCGAAGAGGAGTGTAGGGAGTAACTGGAGGCTACTGTAAAGGAAAATCTTGGTAATAAAAGAGCGGAGCCGAGAGAGGTGCGGTAGGTCAAGGAGGTTGCGGAGCGGGGAAGGGGCCGGTGGCGGAGCGGGGAGGGACGGGGCGGAGCGGGAAGGGCGGCGGTGGGGCGGGGAGGGTGGGGCCGACGCGGGAGGGAGGGAGGTCGGAGCCGGGGCGGGGGAGCGGTGAGGGCATAGTGCCCGTGCGAGAGGGAGGTGTGCG